GCCCCAGCCCCCAGCCCCCCAGCCCTGGAGTCAGCCCCTGAGTTTTGAGTGCTCTGCCCTCTTCCTCCCGCCCTTTGCAGGAGTGGGAGCTGGTGGTCCTGGGAAAACTGAAGTGGAACCTGGCGGCAGTCACCCCTCACGACTTCATTGAGCATATCCTGCGCAAGCTGCCCCAGCAGAAGGAGAAGCTATCCCTGATTCGCAAGCATGCGCAGACCTTCATCGCTCTGTGTGCTACAGGTGAGAGGGGCCTCACGGGCTGGCCGGAGGAAATGGAACCAACTCCTCTGCCACTGTGGGTGGGGGTCTAGGTGAGTGGGCTGAGTAAGCCAGTCTGGGGTTTCATTTCTGGCGTGTTCCGCTGCTCTTTATCAGAACTGGAGTATTTTTTTTCTCTGCTTCACTCATAAATACTTGATGGGGACAGGTGTGGTAAGGGAAAAGAAATTAGTGCCCGCTAAAATATTGTTTATGATGTCTAAAGTGCTCTTTGAAGATTATATCTACTGCTCCCTGGTTGTGTTCAAATCTTTAATCTTTTGAGGAAAAGCACGGCTTGGAGATAAGCCCAAGAGGGAATTTAAGGAAGGTGGGGGCAAATACAGGTAAAAGGAACAACGACAAGATAAATATGCAGCCTGCCCTGATAAGTGGGAAAGAATTCCTTTCACTGTAGTTCGTTTATTACCTTCTGGCTGCCTCCCCTGCTGATGAGGGAGTAACCCTTTGAGCAAAGACTTGTTTCCTAAGCTCTGGAAAATATTTTGATGGATAGCTAGCTGTTACTGGCCCACACCTGGGTAGAAGACCCTAGAACTGTGTTTCTCAGTCTGTGGGTCTTGACCCCACAGGGGGTCACATCAGATATCCTGCATATCAGATATTTATATTATAATTCATAACAGTAGCAAAATTACAGTTCGGGAGTAACAACGAAATAATTTTATGGTTGGGGGTCACCACAACATAAGGAACTGTATTAAAGGGCCTTAGAATTAGGAAGGTTGAGAACCCCTGTCCTAGAAGCTTGGGAGTCCAGGGGAGACGTGTCAGAAGTTCATCTCCTCAGGGTCAGAAGGTAAAGCAAGAATTAACTGTGAGTGGGGTCTAGCTCAAGCCAACAGAGGTTGTTGAATTGTGCAGGTATGAGGGGGAGTCGGGGAGGAATGTAACATTTGAATTACTTGTAACTTGTTAAGTATGTGTTTGCATAACTGTTTGTGTAATGAACAATAGGGTCTGTGCTTTGTTCGACGTTAAAAGGTCAGACGACTTTGCTACTTACCCCTGAGTGACCTTGCACAGGCCGTTTCACCTCTCTGAAGTTCAACTCCATCTGCAAAACAAGCCTTTGGATACATCTTTTCTCTAGCCTTTGCAGGCTGAATGGGAAAACTAAAACTCAGCAAAACATGCCCTGTGCTTTGCTATGAGGCAGGCGCATGCGCTGTACTAACTGTGAAAGGACTCTGATGGCGAGCCCTAGTCTGAGGTTTGAACTTCTCCACTTAATAAGGTGGACAAAACGACTTTTCCTGCTATAGTACACAGGCTCTGACGGGCTTGTTTGTGGAATTACACCTCCCAATTTTAGGTGTGTGTGTGTATGTGTGTGTGTTCCTGGTTTAGTCCAGCCCCTGGGGACCTACATCAGGCCTTATGGCTCATGTGTCCCAGCTCCTGTGTGGAATTACCTGCCGGGACTTACCAGCTGGTGGGGGTGAGGGGTGTACCCGCAGAGGCCCGGTCTTGTCTGTCCTTTGGACCAGCCCTCCTCTGCTCCCGGTTCTTCTCCTGCTGTCTGGCCTGGGCTCTAGAAGTCAGTCCCACACTGAGACCTGTTCTTTTGTCTCCCAGGAACTCTCTCTTTTGCCATGATTCAGTGAAGGGGAAAGGTGAAACAGTTTTATCTCTGACCCTAGGACAGCTGATCCCCCAGGCCTAAATAACCCCATCACCCAGCTGCCAATGGCCAGAGTCCTGCTTTGACCTTGTCTTTTGACTAACAGGTCTTTGGGGTTTGTTCACCACTTCTTTCTCCCTGATCTTGCACTGGGGTGAGGGGGCTTGGATGGATTCCCCCAATCTATCCAAGCGCCCTCACTGGCCCATTCTCTATTCATGGGAATCCCATCCCCCACTCCTGGCCATCCTGTCCAGATCTTTGGGGCGCCAATTTTGGGGCCAAAATGGGGAGCCTGGGATCCAGGGACTAAGGACAGAGGTCCACTGGGAGGTGGGGGCAGTCAGAAAGGCTGCCTTTTAGGGGCCTCAGCCTAGCTTTAGCCAAGGAGTGGGAAGCAAAAAGGAGAATGTACCTCCAGTCAGGCAGGAGCCATGTGCCAAGTACTAAGTCTGAGGCGTAGACCTGGTGAAAGTGGAAAAGAGAGCCACAAGCTTCCTGGGTGTGGAAAGGGTTAGCCTGATCATAGGGCCCTCATGTCTCCCCTGCAAGTGAATAAGCTTTGGAACCCTGGAGCTGAGGGGCCCGGGGGGGGGGGGGGGGGGGGGGGAGTGTGAGAGAGGGGGGGCAGGTCTAGTGGATCCAAGAATGACAAGACCTTCAAATAGCAGGCTCAGAGTGACTGGAGAACCAAAGACAGGAGGAGCCTGGCCCTTCAGCCACACCTGGTGCTCCTGCTGCCCCAGTACCTCACAGCTTCACTCTAACTGAATATTCCACTCAGGAGCTGAGGAAGGCTTGCAGCCAGGGCCTTGGGGGTTCGAAATGGCAAGGGAAGGGGGCGGTCCCTGAAGAGATGGTAGGTAGCCAGCCCCGGGCGATGTTGCTAGTTTATGGGAATAGGCAATTGTGAAAGAGCTGCTGGCAGTGGCTCTGAGGGGGTGTGCTGAGCGTATGTGTGTGTGAAAGGGGAAGAGAGTGTGGCGAGGCCAGGGGCCGAGGGAGGGAAAAGTGGCTGACCAGCAGTCTGCTTTTATGGGACTCTGGGTTAAGGTTGGTGGTAGGGCAGAGAAGTGCCTTCCTTCCCTGTTCAGCTTACAGTGGCTTCTGGGAGAGAGAGGTGGCCTGAGACTACCTGGTATGACTCTCTCAGTTGGTCTTGTGAGGTGAGAGGTCTTCATAACTCCAGCTCCTGCCCAGAACTTGGGGCTCCAGGGAAGGCAGAAGTGGGCTCAGTTCTGCACCTGAGTCTCCAGGTAGCAAAGGATAAGAAGGCCCCCTGAGATGACCAGGATCTCACTTGGGTACCAGTGACCTCATCATGCTTCACATGAGTTTAAACTTGGCACGGGTACCCCAGATGCCCCACAGGTGCTTTTTTGCCCTGGGCCCCACCTGTATCTGCTGTACCCAACTGCCTGTGTTACCCCACCTCCACCCCAAGGCGGAATCCTTGGCTTCACCCAGTCTTCTCTTTGAGGTGTTTATTGGTTTCCAGCCCCGAGTTGTAGCCAGACTGGTGGCCCTGAAAAGTCTGGGGACTTGACTCTTGTTCTAGAATGTAATCCAAGCCTCTCCGGTGGCCAGGAAGGAAGAATGAAACCCACATTTCCACCCAGAGGGCCTCTGAACTGCCCCCAGAGGGCAGTCATGGGGCTGAGAGGAGGAAGTAGCGCTGAACTGTAGTTCTGTCAGTGATACTGGTTATCTCACAACCCTTTTAGCCATGAGACGAACGGGTGCCTTTCTCCAGCCACAGTGGCCCTCTCTGCCCACCCAAGTTCACTCCTCAGAAGCAGTTTTTGCCCATGCAGGGCAATAAGGACAGGCTGGGCTGAGTCCTGTCTAGGGGTGGCATATGAGTGTGTGCCGAATGACATCATGGGTTTCGTCTGCTGGCCAATGAGCACCCTAGGTCTGGTCCTTCAAACTTACACCTCCCTCACTACAGGTTGAGAAAGAGGAAGAAGCAGAGAAAACAGACTTATTTTCCTGTATTTGCTCGTTCCATCAGCCTCAAAACAAGCCTCTCCCCCTAGTGGTGAGCACGAGTAAAGCAGCCCCTGGGAGGCTTTGTTAGCAAGTGCTACTCACGCTCCTACTTTTCCTCAGTGTTAAGCCCTTTGAGCAGGACCACACACAGCATCCCAGATTTAAACTCCATTAACGGAGAATAGTTTGGCCCGTGGAATCTCATCAAAAAGTTCAGATTCCAAATTGCTGCATATGGGGTGTTTCTCCTGATCCTTGTCCAGACTCGGGAGCCACTCCAGACACGCAGCTGCTTCTATGGCAACCATGGGATTTGGTACCACAGTCTCCAACTGATACTGCAGAGGTGGTGGACAAGTCTATGGCCCACATAGCTGGGCTTCTGGGCAAGAGCCCTTCTTTCATGTTTTATTTCATGGTGTAGGAGGTAACTCTGAGGACTGTTAAACCCAGACTGGATTGGGGTACAAAGGTGTCCCTAGTCAGAGGTCCAGCACCCCTCCTGAGTGAGTGACATGGAACAAATCAGCTGACACCCCAAGATTGCCATTCATCTGGAATGTGTCCTTTGCCTGCCCCCTCCCACCAGGAGGGAGGGAGGAGAGGTCTGGGACTCCTCACATGGGCATTACTGCTGAGCTTTAGGAGAATCGCATCAAATAAATGTGTGCTGCAGTCCCACCGGTGCAAGCAGTACAGGGGGAGCATTAGGAGCTATCAGTTGTTACCCTGAGCTAGCTTCTATGCCTGGTAGTGAGAGCAAGTAGAGGCTATTACAGTTAATCCTCACGATAGCACTGTGAAGAAGGCAAATGAATACTTAAACTTTTTTTTTTTTTCTTTTTCAAGACAGGGTTTCTCTGGGTAGCCCTGGCTGTCCTGGAACTTGTTCTTGTACATCAGGCTGGCCTTGAACTTTGAATTCCACCTGTTTTCCCAAAAGCTGGGATTAAAGGTGTGTGCCACCACTGCCCAGCAAATCAGCACCCCTCTTTGGTCAGAAATGCTTCTTCTGGAGATATATGAAGCCAAGCACAATGCACCATACTGGTGTACTGCTGCATAATAAATTAGCTACCCAGATGTAAGAAACTGCTACTTCTTAGGAGCACCTGTTTTTCCCATGGCGCAGTGGTAGTCATGCGTATTGGAGCATGGTATAAAGAGTCAGTCAGACTCTGCCCAAGGAGGACTCCTCAGAACTTTCTTAGGGAAAGGGAAAAGGTTGAGCCCCCCCCCCCATAAAGGTCTTGTACCTGCGCTCCAGGCCAAGCCACATATCCCTTCTGGCTCCCCACACTAACTAACCTTGAGTTGGTTTTGTTAGCAGTGTGACTGCAAAGTTCTACAGGGATGCTGTGCATGCCTCCTGATCTGGAGCCTGTGCACAAGAAAGGGCGCGTTGGGGACAATTCCCTGCCCTGTCACTGCCAGGTGCTCTCACCCAGGGCCTCTGTGGGCCCAGGGCCATGGGCTGGCTGCCTCTTCTGTGCTATGAATGTCACAGAGGGGAGCTAACAAGGTCATTGGACAGAGAAACAGTCTCCTGTGGCCCATATGGGAGAGACCTACAGCAGAGCAAGAGGCAAGGAGGTTGGCTTCGTCACACCAGTTAGGCGGACAGAGAAGAGAGGCAGGGGTTGGCGGCCAGCAGGAGTTGGGTGAAACCCCATAATATTTGGCCCTCAAGGTGAAGATGGTGAAGGGATAAAAGCCAAGGAGAGAGACAGACAGACAGACTGCCAGGCCTACCCCATGTTCCTGGGATTGAGCCCAGGTGGGAGGGGAGGCGTGCACGGTTCGCTGATCTGTGGAGTGTCTAAGAACAGTAGAGACTCAATGCTGAGGCACTGTGCTCTCTGTTGTAAAGGCTTCACATTGACACACTGCTGCAAGAGGGCGTGCACTGAGAGAAGGGAAGAGCCTCGGTTGCTCTGAGTGCGTGGGTTCAGCCCAGTGGTCTCATTACAGTCGGAAGTGTGATTCATCTGTCCCTTATGCTCTGCCTTCTGTCCCCACTGGATTTGTTGGTGTCGTGCTATAACTAGAGATCATACTCTGCAAAGTGGGCCCCATCTCACAACTGCCACTAGACTGAGTGATGACAGTCACCTCTTTAGTTTGTGAGCCCAAGGCAGGGGCAAGGTCAAGAACAACTTGACCATTCCCAGGTTCCCTTCCATGTAACACGAGTTCTAATAGTTCTTAATAATAAAAGCCCAGAGTCAGATGTAGGGGAAAATGCTGAGAGATCAGAGAGACGAAGGAGCAAAACCACAGTCACCTTACCTACTCAACTTCCCAGACGAAAAGAGAGCAAGTTTGTTTCCAAATCCCGCCTATATTCCTTTCTCTGCTCTGTCTCTTACTTTCTGTCTCCACCTCCCCAGTGCTGGAATTAAAGGCGTGTACCACAATTGCCTGGCCTCTGTGGTTAGCGAGTGGCAGGCTCTATCCTCTGATCTTCAGACACGCTTTATTTGTACAAACAAGATATCTCCAAGATGTCTGTGTTAGACAGACATCACAGTCAATGCATGCATGTTAGCAGTTGGCAGGTCCACCAGTTACTGGATCATAGTCCCGAAGCCCCTTAGAGAATCACTCAATAGGAAATAAGTTTAGGGTCCCAAGTTGCCCTTACTACCTAAGGTGAATCCTCTGTCTTTACTCTTAGACAAATAAGAGTATGATTGGAAAGCAATGTTTGTCTTTGGTATTTGACCTCTGTCCTAAATGCTCTGAAGATCCTTTAACATAGGGTTAGGAGTTGAGAATTAAGTGAATTTGAGTTAATTCACCTCATCTCCTACATTTCTGCTTCTGTATTTAGCTTACATGCACATACATGTGAACACGCACTCTCCCTCTCTCTCTCTCTCTCTCTCTCTCTCTCTCTCTCTCTCACACACACACACACACACACACACACACACACACACACACACACACACGTTAGGATATTCTGCCTGCATGTATGTAGGTGTACCATGCACATGCCTGGTGCCTGTGGAGGTCAGAAGAGGACATGGAGCTGCAGATGGTTCATGTGATGCTGAAGTCAAACCTGCGTCCTCTGCGGGCTCAATAAGCTGAGTCAACTCTCCATTCCCTCCGTAGCATTTCTTTATACTTAGCCAGAGACTAGGGCAAGATCCTATTGGGAACCATTCTTCATAAAAGTTCTCATGATTCCCCCCTCACCCAATCTCCTTGTACTTTGTCCTCCCTCCTTCAAATATCGAGAGGCCGTAGTTATCCCACCAGTAGGGTAGACAGAATACTGACATGAACAATCGCAAGCCTCCTTGACTCTATTCCACCATCACCCATGGCAAAGAACACAGTACCTGGCATGTATTGACTTCTTGAATAATTGTAGGGCCTAGACTACTCAGGACTTGGAGCCTTTGGTGACTTGCTGTGTGCACTCAGATAACTGCCCTTCCTCTCTTGCCTCGGTGTCTCTTTTAAGATTGAGATACCCATAGTTGGCAGAAGAGCTTCCTGTGGATGTAGCCAAGGCGGAGGGTGGCTGTGGCGCCAGGGATCCCAGGGCAGCAATTCCACACCTTCTGATATCTGAGCATCTGCAGGCTGCCAAGCTCTGGGCCCCGTTTTGCTTCTGTTTTGCTTACCTTTCAGCCCTCTCTATCTTTACAGACTTCAAGTTTGCCATGTACCCACCATCGATGATCGCAACCGGAAGTGTGGGAGCAGCCATCTGTGGGCTTCAGCAGGATGAAGAAGAGAACACACTCACGTGTGATGCACTGACTGAGCTGCTGGCCAAGATCACCCACACTGATGTGGTAGGTACTTGCCACCTTGGCTGAAACCAGATGTTTCTCCTCAACTTCTGGAAAAGGTGGTTGGTTTATGATGGTGGGTCAAGGTTTTTTTTTAATCCTGCTCTTGGTATTTGTCTTTGAAGATCAGTTTTTAAGGCGGTGTAAGCTCTAGCGGAGTGATGCCTCCCCATCAAGGTGTGCTTTTTCCTGGGGACCGGGCTCTGCAGTGCCAGGCATCCCCTCTGTGACATTATCATCTCTTTTCTAAATTTTATTGAGAGATAATCTCACAGAGTTGCCCAGGATGGCCTTGAACTTGTGATCTTCCTGCCTTTGCCTCCCTGGTAGCTGCGATTACAGGTGTGCCCCGATATCTCCTGCTTCCTCTTGTGAGTTTGAAAGCCTGTGCATGTCTTAAAATACAGACGGACCTCAGCAGGCTGATGGGTGGGGGAGGGCCGTTGACTGGTTTTCCTCTGTGGTGTGGGGTTCATGTCCATTTATGTACACGTTGTCAGCCCTCTGCTCTGCCATGGAGAGCCTCCAGTTCTGCTACTCCTCTCTGAGGCAGTAAGGCTCAAAGAGGGGACAACTAAGGCTGGGCAGTGGCTGCAGTGGAGGGAGCAGATTCAAGCGGTGGACTGGTGTGCTTTCCACCATCCTGTGTCAGGGTTGCCTTTTGATCAAAGTTGTGATGGATGACAAGGCTCCCAAAGATCAAGTGCAATACAAATTCGAGAAACTATTATTAGCTTTAGACTTTTTCCATTCTGTGTGGATGGCCCCACATCTGCTGCTGGCTGCCAGGATTCAGAGCTCTTAAACAAGAGAGGTTTTGAGATGGACCAGGATTCCATAGGTCTTGATTTCACCGGCCAGGACATAACAGTTGGAGAAGGTTCCATCTGGGATGGCTCATAGAGCCCAGATAAGAGTTTCCTGCATTTCCCCAGCAGCAGAGAGGGTAAAGGAGGCAACCTAGAAGCAAAACAGGTAGTAGCAGAGCTGCGACTCACGCTCTGAGCTCTGACTCCAGCCTGGAAACCGTTCACTGCTGTGGCTCCTGGGAACTTGGTATTTGCAAAAGGCATTTGGTTGAAAGGCCAAGCAGAGAGAAGATGTATTGCTGGATCTCAGGTCCTGGTGCTTCACCATGGAGAGGCTCAGGAATGAGAGTGCCCTATAAAGGAATTTACTGGGTTCAAGGGTCATGTCATGTGACACACAGGCCTGTGACTGGTGTCTCCCCAAGGTATGCTGAGCAGCGGCTATTCAAACTCAGGGAGCTCAAGGCCATCCATCAACTTACCTGTATTTGGCTTGACCTCTACCTCAGAGAGGTGGCAGGCCTTGAAGATCTTAATAGAAGTAAGCCTGGGCTCGCCTCTCAGCCAGTTTTTCTATGGGCTATGTTAAATGTTGGTGCCAAAATGTCTGCCTCTCAGCAAGGGCTCCAAAATATAGATTGCAAAGCTCCCAATCTCCAACCCCAGCACAGTGTGAAAAATACATCTCTAATTCTCCAAGGGAAGTATGTGTGTGTGTGTGTGTGTGGGGGGTCTCATCCTTTTTTCCTTTCCCTAATGTCTTCTGTTAAGGATCCCTTCATAGATAGGATGCTAGCCGATTGCAAACAAGGCTTTCTTCAACTTCTGAACCCACACACAAAAAATGCCCACGATAGCAGTTTGGCCCTCAGGTGTCACCACATTTTCAACAGGCCTGCTCTGATTGGCTGACGTAACCAGCAGGGCCCCATGCTTTGCCTTCCTCTCTCTTGCTCCAGTCCTTACGGTTACATAGGGACAGAAACTGCTCGTGTGGTCTACCACTAAGACTCTGTCTGTGCCCTGATTTACATGACTGCACCCCAGCCTGTCATTTCATACTGGAGATGCCACCTTCCCCTCTCAGATGCCATACAGCGGTCAGGAGACCCAAATCTACTGTCAGACTGGGATAAATACAACTGGGCTTCCCATCAGCTGCATCCGTTGATTTGGTATTTTAGTTCTTTTAAGAAAATTTTCAATTACCTGTGTGTGTGTGTGTGTGTGCGTGCGTGCGTGCGTGCGTGCGTGCGTGCGTGTGTGTGTGTGTGTGTGTGTAAAGCATGCCACAACTTGCGTGTGGAGGTCCTAGAACAACCCACCAGTTGGCTCTTCCACCTGGTGGGTCCTGGGAATTGAACTTGGGTCAGCAAGCTTGGTGGTAGTCAACTTTACCCACTGAGCCATCTCACTGTCCCTGGCACTTCATTTCTGCAAGGGGCCATTGTCTTAATTTGGGGTGCAGGTCCCTGCTTGATTCTCATTGTAGGGTCAAGAATAGATCTTGCAGTATTAAAATCCAAGCAAAATGGACATATAAGAACTAACAAGATCGACCTCACCTGTCCAGGTAAATGGCTGGTGCCTCAGAAAGTTCCACGCATACCACTGGTTCCCCAAAGCCCACTCATCTGCTTCCAGGAAGTGTTTTCGGTGGAAAGGTGTGGGGTGCCTGCAGCTTCCCAGGGGCTGAATGTCCTCCCCTCCAGCAGCACGTGCTCTCTGAAGAGCTCAGTTCCAGCATGAAGGCCAATAAGGCTGTCATTGAGAATGCACTTGTGTTCGGAGGGAGAGTTCTGCTTTCACGACCTCTGTTCACCATTTTGTGAATGAAGAAGTGGTGTGTTTGGATCACTCCTCCCCATTCATTTCTGGAAGCACTCAGAATGGCCAGTTGTTGCAGACTGCTGCATTAGGGAACAGAAATGGGCAAGACCTAGTCCCTAGGCACTGTGCTGGAAGCTGGAATGGGCAGATGGAGCATAGAAAATAACATGGCAATTAATCAACAAATGTAAAGTAGGGCTGGGGATGATTTAAATGGTTTAGAGCACTGACTGCTCTTCCAGGGCACCTGGATTTGATCCCCAGCACCCACATGACAGCTCACAATGGCATGTATGTAACTCACACGTGTGATGCACAGACACATATGCAGGCAAAACTCTGACACAGGTAAAAAGAGATTAATTAAATTTTTAAAAAGAGAAATAAAGCATGGAGCATCCTCACAAGATCCTGGATTAACAAATGCTAGTGTGTTCCAAACTTTAAATGAGGCAGGACATTTCTGTAGGTGAAAGAACTCATGAAGCCAATTGTAGTTTGAGCAGTTTGTAAAACGTGTCCTGGGACTGGAGAAGCAAAATGTGATATGACCGAGTGATGGGATATTGTATAGCCTTTCAGAAGCAATGTCAGCAAGGGGTTAAGATAGCTTAAGCCATTGTGCTAAGTAAAATAAGCCAGACACAGGTTATATATGAAGCAGCTGGAGAGGCCAAATACACAGAAACAAAAAGTGAAACTGAGGTTACCAAGACATGGGAGGAGGAAAGAAAGGTGAGTCTATGGTAAATGCATGTAGATTGGAGACGGAGCATCCTGGGTGTAACACACAGTGTGGATGCACTACAATCCACTAGAAATGGTTAATTTTATGTCATAATATCTTATCCATCTATACATATATATGGATATGTATACACATGATATATACACATATGCATTATGCATACATATATGTGGATATATATATATGTGTGTTATGTATACAAATACAGATGAAACATCCGGAACTACCCCAGTGAAATGCCAGTAGGTGTATTGGGCTGTCCCATAGATAAGCTAAACACCCAGGACCAGATTTGTCCTTGTGACATATAGCTGACCGGAGTTCCTGATTCACCTTGTTCTTTACAATCTATTCAGACCCACCATGTTCTGCTCTTACTTTGAGTGGCATCTCATGGCTGGTTTGAGATCAAGGTTGAAAGTGGGTCCTCTTGACTCATCTGCCACCACTGGACTGGCCACACTGGCAGCAGATAGCTGGGATTGCAGGGACCCACGCGGCTCTGAGAATGTGGGTCTTTGTTTTTCCATCTCGTTGCCAAAATAAACCGGAAGGCTCCATTCCAAAGAGAAATCTGAGTGAGAACAGTGACAGGGTTGCAGGGGGGGAAGTTTAAGAGGGTGGTGTATTTTCGGTACTTTTTACTTCCAGCCACAAGTTAAGAGTTGCTAAAAACAGACGCTAGCCAGGAAGGCACGCTGGCTTTCTGGGGGAACTTCTACCCACCCAGGCTTCCGTTGCCAAGGGTGAGTTTGCGAGCAGGGATCGGCCATCCCAGGCCCCTGCAGAATCGGGTTCCTCTTTGGTCTCCTCTACAACGTTAACATGCTTTGGTCCAGAATTTACTTCACTGTTGACTGTAGGGTCTCTTGAGTAAGACCCAACTAGACTTGGCTTTTTATCCCAAGCCTCTGGCAGTCATCAGGCTGGAAAAAGGGAGGGAAGAAGGAAGGAAGGAAGGAAAGACAAAGGGCAGGCAGATGGGTTTCAAGTGTGTCCCTTTTCATGCATTCATGACTTTTGGAAAGATTTATCATCTATCTATATCTACCTGTCTGTCTATATGTATGTAATTAAACATTAGCTATATGTCAGAAGATTTATCTTAGTGCAAGCCACTTAATCTTCACTCTCAATCACACACTTACTGAATCGTAGAGTGCAGCTTACATCGGGTATGAGGCTCAGTGGTAGAATGCTTGCCTAACGTATGCAAGGCTCTAGATTCAATCTCCAACATTTCCAGAAAGGAAAAAAAGAATTGAATTGAGGCTTCCATCCATGCTTTAAAGATACCAGGAAGTTTCTAGAAGATATTTAAAAGAACAAATTCAGGCTCTAGTCATACGGCTGTTTCTATCCTCGCCCAGAGTAGATTCTAGGATATTCCTCCTTTAGGGTCATCTTGGCATTTTATGATACTGCTTGTCAGTGAGTAATTATAAAACCAATAGTCTTCTGTGGGGTCCCTAGCATCCCTTCTGTTCCCTCTTAGCTTAAGATTTGCTGTTTTCTCAGGCCATCTCTGTGACCCTTGTCATCTTCAGTGGGCTTTATAGGGTCAGGAATTCTGGGAAGCATGGAAGGTGGTGGGCTGGAGGCGGGGGAGGTGGGCTAGAGCTGGGGGCTGCCTTCCTCCTCATTTGGTATGCAAGGAAACGAGCCAAACAGCCTGTGAAGAAAGGAAGAATGAGATAGTTTCCTAAGTTGTCTCTGCCTGAGTTGGCCGCGGGTCTGGGGCTCATTCAGCCCTTTGTCCCCCTGTTGAGTGCAGTGCGTGTGTAGTGACAATGGGTTGATGCAGTTACACTGAGGGCTAATGGTTGGAGTTCCGTGGGCCCATTCATGGAGTCGGTGGAGGGTGCAGGGCAGCGAGCTCGAGCCAGCAAGTGGAGGAAGTCGGGGGCCGAGTAACGAGCTGGAGATCACAGCCGCTGCTGTCAGGGCTCTGAGGATGGGGGAGCCAGAGCAGTGCAGGGAGGGGGCCGTCATCAGAGGAGTTGGAGGGGTGCCCGACCTCCAGCACAGTGGAGTGCCACCTGTCCGGCTGACAGACTAGCATTATAGCTTCCCTTTTAATCAGCTTAATTTGGGGCATCTTAACACAATGCCTACTGCTTTGGAAGGCTGCCTCAAAGCAGAGGTCCTGGAGTTCCCGCTTGTCACAGGGATGCAGCATCTTTCATCAGGGACACTGTTATCATCACCCCTGCACACACATACACACACAGACACAGAGACACACAGACACAGATACATGCACTCAGAGAGAGACACACACACACACACAGAGACAGATACACACGCAGACACGGAGACACACATATAAATACACACACACACACACACACACACACACACACACACACACACACAGAGACACACAGACACAGATACATACACTCAGAGAGAGACACACGCAGACACGGAGACACACATATAAATACACACACACACACACACACACACA